GAGTCTTCGAGGCGGGGCAGGTACCTGTCTGTGTGTTTTCAATGCAGCTGTCTTAAAAGAGAGAGATAAGGGAGGTAGGATGCCAAGGGCAGTTCTTGGACTGGTAAGTGGTGGTGAAGTAGGAATGGTCTTCCATACACCAGTTTAAAAGGATTAAGGAAGGAAGGGCTATGAGGGGAGGCTTTAATCCAAGCAAGAGCTATAGGTAAGAGTGTAACTCTTATACTCTTATAGGTAACTGTCCCAGGACTGGCAGTTTTACGGAAAACTTTGTGAGGTGATCTTTGAAGAATCCATTAGTCCTTTCTTTTTTTTCTGGTGACTAAGGTCTGTATGGAATGCGTAGCTTCCAATCTATGTCTAAGGCTGAACATACCTGATGAGTAATTTGGAAAATGAAAGCAGGCCCATTATCAGATTGTGTGGAGGTGGGGAGAACAAATCTGGTAATGATGTGGGTCAGCAGGGTATCTGTTACTACTTCTGCAGTCTCATGTGTGGTAGGAAAGGCTTTTATCCACCTGTAAAAGGGTATCAACCGTGGTGAGGAAGTATTTAAGCTTTTTGTGAGAAGTCTCCAACTTAATTTTTTGCATAACTGGCCTGCTAGCCACCCGACATGTAAGGGGCACAGTGCTCAATGGGTGTGAAGGATGACCGTCAATTTCCATGACAGAGACCGGGGAAGGGTGTAAAGGACCAGAGAAGGAATGCAAAACAAAGAAGGCAGCCCATGTTGACCAGAAAGGACAAAACCTTACCCACTACCTTGTTACCCCAGGTGTAGCGAGGGTGATCAGGCTCATTGAGTCTAGGCTCCGTCAATCCTTGGCACCTAGGCCCAGTAGCTTCAACGGTCAGGGCTTGGAGGGACGGGCTTTTCATGGCTGGGCGCCGAAGGACAGTCAATTCTCCAGTGGCTCTGTTGACTGCACACTGGACAAGGCATGTTAGACGGACGAGGTTGTGAGCAGTGATTGGCCCAGTGACCTTGCTGGCTACACTTGAAGCAGGCTGCTGGAGGTGGTCTGATGAAACTGCTGTTTCTAGGGCCTGGGAGGGATGCCGATGTCTTCTTGGTTGTCGAGGGCCTCAGGGCTACAATCAAGGCTTGGGCCTGTAAGTTGCCTTCTGGCAATTTTGGGACCTCCTGTCTGCTTCTGCCTGCTCCTCTCTGGTATTAAAGACTTTAAAGGCCATATTTGTCATGTCCTGGACAGGAGTCTGAGGGCTGTCTTTATCCTTTTTTAACTTTTTAATGTCTGGAGCTGATTGAGAAATGAAATGTGTGGCGAGGACAGTGGTCCTTGCTGGTGAGGTTGGGTCTAGGCGCGTGTATTGGGTAAGGGCTTTAGTCAGGTGATTTAAAAATGTTGCCGGATTTTTATCCAGCCTTTGAGTAATCTTTCTGAGCTTATTAAAATTAACTGCTTTGTGAGAAATTGCCTGGAGACCGGCCAAGACACACTGGAGCATTTTATCTTGGTGAGCCTGGCCATCCTGGCCTGCCTGGGTAGTCTGGTAACTCGAGCCTGGTTCTCGCCTTGGGACTGCCTCAGTACCCACAGGCAGAGGAAGGTCAGTTAAATGAACCTGGTCTGCATGCTGCTGGGCAGCAGCAAAAACACGCTGTCTTCCCATTTGAGGTGAGTGTGGATGAATGGATTACAAAAATATGCCATGATAAATTATTGACTTGAGATAGATCTTTGATGTAGGTGGTGGGATTATTGGAAAAGGATTTTCAATTTGGGACAAGTCAGTGAGAGAGAAGGGATCATGGATGTGTCTGCAACTTCCCGTAGGGGAAGAGGAGGGGTTGGTGCAAATGTGTATGATGACTGACAGGGGAAGACAAGGGAAAGAACTTAGAGCCTGAAGTGGGGGGTTGACAGAGGGTGGTGGGAAGTTGAAGAGGTGGTGGAGGGAGGTGATGGTGAGGGGCACCCAGAATGTGGAGGAGGCCTTACTGGGGGCATAGACAAGGAGTCAGCGGGGTTGGAGAAAGATGAGGGGGAGTACTGTCAGGGGCCTGATTAAGAGAGTGTTTGGCTAAGAGGATTTGAGTGGGGTCACAGGTAGTACAGAGAGAGAGAGAGACAGACAGACAGACAGACAAGTGCTATAACAAGTAGTACACACAGAGAGAGAGAGAGACGGGAGCATAGAAGGAAGCTTGGACATAGGGGACCTTAGGCCATTTGCCATTATCTAGTTTATATTAGGGCTAAAACGAATTGCAGTACAAAACAAGGCATTTGGGCCAGACGTCTGGAGTTAAGCCAAGGGTTGAGAGGTTAGTTTGGAGACACCCTAAAGGTGTGGAAGAGTCTGGCTTAGAATTTTTGTTTTCCCAAGCTGCAGGGTTCTTGGAAGAGACTGAGCTAGACAATCAGTGTCCTGAGTATCCAACTGGGCCTCTGGAACTGGGGGAGGAGGAAGCCTGGCTTCCCAGCTCCCCTGGAAAAGTGGCAGACACTCTCAGGCGTCTCTGAATGTCTCTGACCTTTGGATGAAGGGAGCGGGGCTCAGCAGACTCCCCGCTCCCTGGCTGATGGAGTGGCTCTGACAAGGGCCCACAGTTCAGCAGAACTTAATGGACAGAGCCTCTGGTGGAAGAACCCAGCAGCAAGGGGCAGTGGCTGAAATAGCAGAGATAAAATTTAGTCAGGTACTCAGTCATAGGCACTGCAGATGGCAACTGAAAGGTCCTGGTCCGAGAGATGGAGGAGAGGGGCGCCACACTTGCCCAAGGGACCCCGTCAAGACACCAAATGAGGTAAACTGAGGCACAAGGACAAACAGAAAAAGTTGAGGTTATAATAGCCTGAACCAGGTTCCTGGTCTAGCAAGTAGCCAGGGAAGTTGTTCCCAGTGAGGAGAGTGGTAGGTTTTTATAGAAGGGTCTGAGGAGGGGCCCTTTGGGAAAGGGTAGGGGCTGCAGTCATATTTTTCCTTAGTCTAATTGTCCAGTAATTGCAGGTGGGGAGGAAAGACGGTTATTCTTGGGAACCAGTTCCGAGAGTTGTCTGTCAGCTTTGTTTCCTGGTACGTGCAGGGAGAAAAGGTGAGGCCCTGACAGCCTGTCCTGACCCAACACCAGGTAGTGGGGCTCTTATATGTAAATAAGCATTACAGGTGGAGCTGATGGCAGTGGCGTGCGTGGGAGGAGATACTGAGTTTAATATGGGATTTACTGAATCTGAGATGCACATTGGATCTATAGTTAGAAGTGTCTCGCAGGCATTTGATTTTCCTGTTCACTCCCCAGGGGCCTTTCCGTTTCTCCCATTCGGGGAGGTATTGATCCTCTGTGCCCAGCATAATTCATGGCTCTCAACGGTGGGTTGAATAAATAATCCGGCCAGAAGTAGGTGCGAGTGATCAGAAAGGACGATGCTTCCTGGAAAACCTCAGGGCTGTCGAGACAAAGTTGATTGCGGCCATAGGCTTGAAGCCCGCTTTTAAACCCTGACTGCCACACGCGGAGAACAAGTGCACTTGGAGGGGGGGGTTACCTCAAACCGCGCATTTTTTACTCCCTCACGACATTTTAAAATCTCTACACCTCATTTGGAAAAGCTCCTCCTGTATCATGCCGCATACCTAACAATGTTATGCCCGTGGAATTGATTTGGATTGCGGCGGCACTGCCCTAGCGCCCCACCGCGACGTGCGAAGCGCCGTTGCACAAGTCCAGCCGCCGCGGGCTCCAGCCAAGCTGTCTCGGCGGGAGGAGGAGCCCGAGGCGGCCGAGGGGCGGGCAGTCAGTCCCTGGACCCGCCCATCCAGGGGCGGCGCTTACCCCATCACCCGCGCTGACGTCACATAAGCCGACATCACCTCAGACGCGCGCGGTGCAATCACCGAGTACGCCGCAGCTGCTGCGCTGCTCGCCGCCTCCCTCGCCTGGAGATCCCTCCGCCAGGCCCCTCCCACCGCTCCGCCCCGGCGAGCCAAACGCAGCACTCTGAAGGGAACAGCTGTCTCTTTAGCCGACGTTATCTTTCCCCACGCTTGGCACCGAGCCTTTTCTCACCGCCTCTCGGTCGTGGCGCAAGGATACCTCGGGGCAGCTACTTTCGAAAGAGGCGTGGCCGCGTGGCCAGCGGGAGGCCCCACCCCTCTGTGACGGGACGGTGGCGTGCTAGGGAGTCGAGGGTGGGGTCCGAGTTTAGAAGGGGACCTCGGGGCCGGTGTCCCGACGCCCATCTGCTGGCTTCTACCGCTCCATCGCATCCGGGGCGTGGAGGAGACCTAGGCCTCCATCATCTCTGACGGGCTGCCGCCGGAATGGCGTGGCTGGCTCTGCAGCAGGCGGGCGAGTCAGTGCTGGGGCAGGTGATGGAGCAGGTGAAAGGCGGTAGCCTCCTGTCCTTGCTGCTGATTTCCTGCACCTTCACCCTCAGTCTGGTCTACCTGCTCCGCCTCGCTGTCGGCCCCCGGGCCCAGCTGCCGGCCGGGGCGGTAGGTGTCCCCTCGGGGGTGCGGGTGGGAGACGCGGTGGTCGAGGCGGCTGAAGGACTGGTGGGGATGGCGACCGCGGCGCTGACTTGCGTGCTGGCCCTGCTGGCCGGGCTGGGACTGGCGGCCGCGCTCATGGCCCTGGCGCTGGTGGCAGCCGCGGCGCTGGCTGCAGGCACGGCGACGGTTCTCGGGGGGGTCCTGGTGGCGGGCATTCTGGGGGCCGGGGCGGCGGCCGTGGCGGCGGCACTGCTACTGGTGACGCTGGCGGCCGGGGCCACCGTGTCCCTGCTGGCTTTAGTGCTGGGGGTCGTGCTGGTGGCCGCGACCCTGGTGGTCGCGGTGGCTGCGCTGGTCGCGTGCCTGGTTTTGGCCGCGATCGTGCTCGCCGCTTTAGTGGTCGTGGTCATCGCTGTGCTGGCCGCAGCACTGGTTGCGGTAGTGGCCCTGGTTGGACTGGCAGCCGTTGCCGTGGTTGTTGCCCTGAGTGCCGTGGTGGCCGTGCTGGCCGCCGCCGTGGCTCTGGGGGCCATGGTGGGGACCCTAATGGCGGTGCTCTTGGCATCTGTAATCGTGGTGGCCACCATCCTGGTGGGGGCCCTTCTGTGGTTCAGTATCTTGTGGGCTGTGACACTGCCCCTAATGGCGATTTACATCCGTGTGAAGGGAGATGTATTCAGTTTGGTGGAGTGGGAGTAACTGCTCAAGTGTTTGGGAGCTTCCTTGATGCTAATAAAGTACCATTTTTTTCTAACGTCATGGCTTTATTTTACTATTGGCTTTATATCACCCAATTATATTTGTTGAATGCATCCTTCACCAATCAACATTTTTTTAAGTTTTTCTTTTTCCTGACAGTGTCATCTACAATGATGGACCAAGTAGCTCTTATTTTTGTTTGAACCACAACAAGCATAAGGCAAAGTTATTCTTCGCCTATACGTGGGTTTTGAGGAAAAGGTCATTTGTCTTTATAACGATAAGGTACCCTTGAGTGGTTCTATGGTCCCTGGAGGAGGGCTGTGAGGGGTGATCCTTGAGGCCACCATAGACCCGAGGGAGATTATCCTTTTTCATCATTGCAAGTTTGATTTCCAGCAGACTTAGTGTTGCAATCTGCACGTCTCATTTTGGGACATCTAGAATACCTTCTATGGTGAGTACTGCAGAGATTCCTCATGAGCTTCCTCATGAGCTGGTCCCTCCTCTCCTTTCTCTTTTAGATGAGAGGACCTCATTCCTTTACAGTGCAAGAAGCATGAGGTGTCTTTTGCATACTGATAAATGTAGCTTTTAAAATGATCTCTCTGCTTTCCACACTTCAAATTAATGTTTTGATATTTCTGTGCCTCCTCTAGGCAATATTTTTTTTCCCTTCTTGTGCTTTTTGTAAAGTTAAGTGTTCAGAAATATGTCCATTTGGCTTTGGACTTAAAAAAATTAATTGGGAGTTAATAACATTATTCCATTGTTTAATCACACCAAGTAGAATTGTACAATTCTATTACAATCAACTTTGGCAAGATTTTGAATGTTACTAAATAGTGAATGGGTGTCTAAGCTACTGGTGAACAAACTACTTATTGTCTCTCTTGTTTGTCTGGTTCCTTTCCAACAGTTGCATAGAGCCATGTTCCGGGCAGTGCCCAGCATCTAGTCTTTTAGCCTAATCCTCATTTAAAATTTTTTTATTCCTTTTACTATGGCTATTCTCTTAAGATATTTGCAAATGGGCTATTCTTAAATTAATTTTACTGTTTAGTGTTTTGATAACTTTCTTTAGTATTCATCACAGCTTTCATTTTTAAATACTTGTATACTGGATTTCTTTTATAAAACTAAATGAGAACTGAAAGTTTTAAAATTTTTATCTTGCAGAAAAACCCACCATATATTTTCTCTCCAATTCCATTCCTTGGTCATGCAGTAGCATTTGGGAAAAGTCCAATTGAATTCCTAGAAAATGCATATGAGAAGGTAAGTACTAATTTAAAGAATTACTTTTCAAACCTTTTCCCCCCAAAATGTTTCTCAGTTTCCTAGTGCCACTGTAGCAGAAATTCAACAAGAAGGTGATTTCAAAGAAGAGAACATATTTATCTCACAATTCCAGAGGATGAACATTTACATCAGAGTCACTTTTGTGTGGATTCTCTCCTAATTTTTCTCTCCCTAAGCCTGGCTGTCTTATTCCATTTCTATCTCACTGATTGCTACCATCATTCATCCACTTTTACAAAGCATCAGAAACCTAAGATTCATCCTTGAGACTTAGCCATGGCCAAGTCTTGAAATTCTGTCTCAGATAACTTAGTATTTGCTTGCTTCTGTCTGCACTATGTCACCGTTACCTTGTACCAAGCATTCATCATTAGGTTCCTGCCCTAAGCTCTAACTGGCTCTGTTTGTTGCCCTTGCTTCCTTGTAGTCTTCCATGAAAAAGACTGAAAACCAGCTAGGTTAGTGCTGTTTTAAACTCTCATGGTTTTTAAGTTCTTTTCATTGCTTTCGAGGAAAAACATCTCTTAAATGGGGTCTATGAGGCTCTGCCTGGTCTTCCCTTTTATGTTCTTTCCTGAAGGACCTTTGTGCATGCTTGGTCATCAAGCTGGGTCCTACTCATCTCTCAGGCTTTAGTTCAGGTATCCCTTCTGCTCCCAAAGTTCTCATTTGCAGATTCTTTAATCACAGTTCTTGCCTTGTGTTGATACCTGTCATGTTGGCAATTTCACATCTATAGGACCTTGGTGGGGCAATGATTAAGTGCCTGGCTAATAACTAAAAGATTTGATGATTTAAACCAGTAAGCGGCTGTGTGGGAGTAAAGATCAGCGCTTTGGACACACTATGGCCAGCTCTGTTTTGTCCTATAGGCGCTCTCTTTGAGTGTAAAATGACTGAACAACCACCATGTGGTTATTTCATTAATATGCATCTTTCCAAATAGGTCAAGTTTCATAAGCCAGGGACAGTGTTTTTCTGTTTGCTCACTATTGTGTCTCCAGAACCTGCCTTATGAAGCCACTCTTCACTAGTAATCAGGAAACTGCACAGGAGGAACTTTTTGCCTAACTGTATTAAGAGATCTACCAAATGAAATCATACAGTAGTGATGAAAATGTGGTAATAAAACTGATACTAAATAAATATCTGGTGTTCTCAGATAACAAGCACTATAAAAATTGTCATCCTTTGTGGCTATTTATTTTATTTTTAATTAAAGGGAAAGTTCTATATTCTCAGATCTGTTCTTTGCACAATTACCTATAATAAAAAACAATAAAAAAAGAAAAGCTAGCCATAAGTACATTAATGGAACAGTTAATAAGTAAATTTAAATTATGGTATTTATATAAAAAATTTTCCATGTAAACAATGAAAAAACAGGAAAAAATTGTACTTACACTACATTTGCAAATGAGTGAAGAAATTCTGTTATCTTTTAATTCCATTTCCCACAAACTTTTTGAAACCCCTCATAATTATAAATCTAGATAGACTAGAGAAGGGTTGGCAAAATGAAAATATTTGCATTAAGGTTTATGAACATATTTTTCATTTGTGAAAACAGATTTTTTGTGTTAAAAGAATTAGAATCTTAGTGCTATGTATGTATATATCTATATACATATATATGTATATATATTGCTAATCACCATGGCTGCTTTTCCCCCTTTAGTATGGACCTGTGTTTAGTTTCACCATGGTGGGCAAGAAATTTACTTACCTTCTGGGGAGCGATGCTGCTGCCCTGCTTTTTAATAGTAAAAATGAAGATCTGAATGCAGAAGATGTGTACCAGCATCTGACAACACCTGTGTTTGGAAAGGGAGTTGCATACGATGTGCCTAATCCGGTAAGTGACACTGTTGAAGAAAGAGAACTCTATACTGTGACAGTTACACCTGGTAGGTTAAACATTGTAAATGTAGAGCCATGTTGAGGTAGTGGGTTACTCTCACCCCTCTTTAAAAATGCAGCTCCTTCAGGTATGGGTACCTTTCTGTGATTACATTGAACCAAAAAGCTGACTAACAAATCCAAAACATTGGCAGATTTTTGGCATGCTGTCTAGAACATCCTTCTGATCAAATATATATATTAATGTATTCACATAGTTTATCAGAGTCTTGAAATACAAATGTCCCAAAAGATTAAATCCATCAATTGTCTAAGTATGAATTTATTGTGCTCGGATGGTTTTGGAATTCTGTAGTGTCATTGAGGGGCAGCAAAAAGGGGAAGTTCCTCAATAAGATGGATTGACACAGTGGCTGCAACAATGGACAGTTGTGAGGATGGCGCTGGGCCAGGTGGTTCTTACTGTTGTGCATCGAGTCACTGCACTGTGAGTCGGAACCACAGCGTCAGTGAAAAATGTGGCTTGTGTGAGAATAGAAAGGGAGACTGTGAAGGAGTGTTAAAAGAACAGTAAACCATAATGGTGTGTGAAAATAGCATGGAGGCCATGTTTGACCTTAAGCCAGTAGCCACAAGGCAAGAGGTCTGACTTGCCTCCACCCTCCACACTCATTACCCTTTCTGACACTAGCCGTCCCTCCCACCAAAAAATAAAGCCAAACTCATTGCCATCAATAAAGTTGATGCTGACTCACAGGGACCGTGTAGGGTAGGGCAGAACTACTCCTGTGAGTTTCCAAGACGGAAACTTTACGGCAGTGTAGAAAGCCTGGTCTTTCTTTCAAGGAGAGTGGTTGGTGATTTCAAACTGCTGACCCTGGAGTTAGCAGCCCAATCAACGAGTAACCACTTCCACCCACTTCCTTTGTCCTTCCCACTGTACTCTTTATTTTTCATCTTGAGTTCTATAATTTATTACAAAAGCCACACACAAATTATGAACAATGCTCATGATTACAGGCTTTATTATGGAAGTTAACATACAATTCAGGTCAGAAATGCTCAGGGTATAGTTGTTCAGTCCTCTCTCTTTCTGACCCTTTGCTTCTGGACCTGCCCTCTGCCCTCTTTAGGGCTGTCAGTAAATGTTCAAAAGGCATGCCACCTGCTATAAATCTCAACCTGAAGGCATTCAGCACTAGCTACTTGGGTCAGTAAACTCTGCTTAACCAGTTAAGTGCTTGGGCAACCACTCCACAAGCCAGCCTCCTGCCCCCAAGCACTCTGCTCACTTGCCCTATGAACCGCTTTTCTATCTCATAATCCAGTTCTTGGTCCTGCAGTTGCTACACCTGTGTCACTCCTCTAGTGCCAAAGCCATTTCCTGGATCAAAAGGTTTCATGTATAGGAATCTCGAGGGCCAAAGGATGTGCTCCAATCCTGGCTTTTTCTCTTGCTGGTGGTAAAACCCCCACCTCCTGCTTTTGAGATGGGTTATTTGGTACCCAGGAGAATGGCAATCCCAATGAACTTTTAGCAATCACTCACTGCTGAGTCATACTTCCGTCAGTTTGTTAACTCCACACATCCTTTCTCAGCAACGGAAGTCCTTTGCTAGGAGTAACAAAGTATGGTTAGAAGAGTCATATTAACCAATTCACTGCATTGCAGGGTGAATTCGTTGGCTTCTTTGTTGGGTTGGGAGATGAGATAACCAGATTAAGAAGAGAAAGTCTTGGAGGCAGGAGTGGTAGCACGTAGGTTTCCTAGTTGATCATTTGTCTAGGGCCGTGATAGCAAGCGTCTGCTACATGTTCCTTGGAATATGTGCATACATTTTGCAAGTTTCCCATTCTGGTGTCCCTTTGAAAAGGAGTTATTTTTTTAAATGAATCAGGAAGTTGTTTACCTTGAGAGTTACACAGTTATGCTAACCCCGTGGATCTGGAGGTAAAACAAAAATGGATTGTGCTCATAGACATCCTTAATTTTCTGAAGGTTTTCTTGGAACAGAAGAAAATGCTAAAAAGTGGCCTCAACATAGCCCAATTTAGAGAGCATGTTTCTATAATTGAAAAAGAAACAAAGGAATACTTTGAAAGTTGGGGAGAAAGTGGAGAAAAAAGTAAGTGGAAAATGTTTTGTAATTTGTACTAATATTTCTACTTTTCTGTGAATAGAAATATAAGCGTGAATGTATGCATATAAAATAAATTGCAGTGTATGCAAAACTACTTTGCAAGTAATAATAGAAGAATGTTATGATTACCATGTATTTAAAATATACCTGAGAATAAGTGATTTATGTTTATTTAGCAGAACCCTAAAATAGCTTACTCCAAAAACCAAAAATGCCAAGCCCACTACCGTCAAGTTGATTCCAACTTATTATGATGTTCCCAAACTTACTGAGTTTTTCAGCACATTTTTAATGCAGTTTTTGTGGTAAGATTAGGTGCCTCGGCTGATATTCAGGTCGGCTTATACCTGAGTATATATGGCCTATTACCTCCATTTCAGAAAAAGAAAATACGCATTGCTCCCCTACCAATGAAAAACTTTTCTCCTATATCCATAATCCAGGATAAAGTGTAGGTCTCTGCTTTTGTAGCTCCCCTGGATCATTTACTGCAGAAGAAAAATTCCTTCAAGTGTCTCTTCCTTGCAGGTGTCTTTCCCCACAGCTTTTTCTCATAGCCGGCCTTTTTCCTTAGCCAAAGGTCAGATGAAGCCCATGAAAGTGATGACAGCTTTCTATGGGAAACCAGTGAGTGGCTAGTTTTCCTTTGGTACGAGGCTCCGCCTTTCAGTCCTGATCATCCCTGTGACCTGGGAGATCATCCTGTCTTGAATTTTTGACTCTCCATTCCTTGAGAAGCACTTCATTATTGCTGTCAGATGCTGTAGACTTTTTGTGTCTTCTGTTTTATTTTGTCTTTGTCCCAGTTGTTGGTGGCTGCTGCTGTTATACTTATTTCTAGCAGCCAGCCCACTTACACTTTTTTCCTTTTTGCTGCTTTTAGTATACTCAGAAGGGCTTAGCAATCCCCTCACCACATTCCGTTTTGTGTTTTCAAGCTAAAGGGGAGCTCCTTAGCGCACGGCCCTTATGGCATTTATGTGAGCTACCCAGAGGGCTGGGGTGTTTGCAGTCACTGGGTTATTTCTCTTCAGTTCCCTGCTCTGATGCGTCTGTAGACTTTTGACAACACACCTGTATACTCGAATATAAGCCTACCCAAATATCAGCCAAGGCACTTAATTTTACCACAAAAACTGCATAAAAATGAGCTGAAAACTTGGCTTATGCATGAGTATATTTAGTAATATGAATAGGATGTTGTTGGTCTGCTTTTCTCTTTGTATTTCTAAGAGAACAGAATCCCTTACAGCAGTGGTTCTCAACCTTCCTAATTCCTTGACCCTTTAACACAGTTCCTCATGTGGTGGTGGTCCCCCCACCCCCATAACATTATTTTGTTGCTACTTCATAACTAATTTTGCTACTGTTATGAATCGGGCGACCCCTGTGAAAGGGTCACTTGACCCCCAGGTTGAGAGCCGCTGTCTTACAAGAACCTTTGTAAACAATAATAGGAATTATCTCCCTCCCCCCCCCCCCAGATTTGTTTGAAGCTCTTTCCGAGCTCATCATTTTAACAGCTAGCCACTGTTTACATGGAATCGAAATCAGAAGTCAACTCAACAGGAAGGTGGCACAACTGTATGCAGATCTGGATGGAGGTTTTAGCCACGCAGCGTGGCTGTTGCCTAGTTGGCTGCCTTTGCCAAGTTTCAGGTATGGAATTTATGAACTATCAAGATATTACACTCAAAGAGTTTTGTATCATTACTGCAGTGTTGCTATACTTTGCTTTAACAGATTTTAAATTGAACTAATAAATCAGGAGTGAATGTGAACTCCTATCACAGAAGATTTCATCATAGGTTTATATAGTTATAACTTTATGTATTTCACTCATTTAAGGTCCATTTCAGTTTAATAAGGTGATTTGTTCATGTATTTTAATGTTTAAAAATCTATGTATCTTATATATCCCTTGTACTTAGTAAAACCTATGCTCTAATCTAAAAGTGATCACAGCTCTCCTCTAAACATTCGAACCAGTCTTTAACGGTTTTGTGCTGTTGTGAAATTTTTATATCTTGAAGTGTTAGTGCCTGTATTTAGTTTTTCATTTGGGTCTTTGCTAACTGTACTTGGTTTTCTTAAGGGCAGGATCATCTCTGATATGAAGAAATGCTGCTCCAAGGAGTTGGTGTGTAGCTCAGTGCCTTGCAGCTTAGTAGGCTGCCTGTAACTGTGTTGATTCATTCCGATATAAGTGAGGGATGGAGAGAAGATAGTCGGTAATTCCTGTTTTTGCTGCCTCTGTCAGAATTGACTTTATGGCAGTGAACATGGTCTAGTTACAGCTTAAAAGAGGGTGAGAGTGAAAAGGGCAGCCAGCTGTTCTATAGGCTTCTCTGGGGCCATCATATATTTGTAAGATTTGAGGTTCCCAAACTACCCTCAGACATAGTATGTTAGCACACCTAGCACAAATTTTGGTCCTTCTTGAGTTCTTCCTAAGTGTTCTACATACTTGTTTCTCCCTGCCCTATTTTTTGAATGAGGTCATGATTTTTTAGCTCATTATGATAGGCTCATTACACTCCAGCCCAGTTGTGCGCTGTCTTGCCCAAACCAACCAATTTAACTAGATCATTCAATTTACTTTAAAAAATAAACAAACAAAACATCAAACCCATTGCTATCAAGTTGATTTTGACTCTTAGCGACCTTATAGGACAGAGTATAACTGCCCCCGAGAGCTTTTCAAGACTCTGACTCTAGAGGAGTAGAGCAGAGACTGCCACATCTTTCTCCCACAAAGCAGTTGGTGGTTATAACCACTAACCTTGTGGTCAATTGCTGAGTGCTTTCATGTCTGAACCATCTCCAAGTGGAAGATGTGAACTGCATTAACCTAGACTGGATTGATGGCTCGCTGCAGTACATCCATGCTAACAACAACCTCTGTGTTTTCGGGGCGAGGTGGCTTATTTGGTCAATATTCTGGAGACAAAGTTTGGATATTCGCCTTCTAAAGTGCCCTTGATTGGCCACAGCCTAGGAGCACATCTGGAGGGGGAAGCTGGATCAAGAATAGCAGGTCTTGGAAGAATCACTGGGCTGGACCCAGCAGGGCCTTATTTCCACAACACTCCAACTCTAGTCAGCCTGCACCCCTCAGATGCTGAGTACGTGGATGTGATTCACACAAATGCAACTTGCTTATTCTTTGAATTGGGTATTGGGACTACAAATGCCTGTGGTCACCTTGACTTTTACCCAGATGGAGGAAAGTACATGCCTGGATGCGCTGACTTAATTGCACCATATTTTAAACTGGATTTCAGTAGATATAATAAAATATGAAAGAAAAAAAAAAGGCCTTGTGTTTTCCTGCTTCTGCCCTGTTCATACTGTTAGGCTGCAGCGGCTTCGTCCCTTTAGGGCATATTGTGTCAGTTGGTCATCACTAGCAGTCCTGAAAATGAAGCAGGGCAACAGCTTTATTGAGCTAGGCTTCAGAGTAGCTTTGGGTGTCATGCTGACCTGTTTTAAATTACTGTGTCCTCCTCTTTGGCTATTGAGGGTAATCAACAGTATTTACCTTACAGAAGGTTACAGTGAGTAATGAATGTAAAACATTTAACACAGTGTCTGTTACATAGTAAGTGCCCACCTTTAAACGTACAGTTTTATAACCGGAAGTTTGTTTTCTGACTTACCTGGTGTTTTTCACTCTGCCAAAACAATGTTATCTTAGAAAATGAGAAGTAAAATCTTACCTTACAGAAGATCTAGAGATCTCCTGCTTCAAGAATTGATTGTTAAAATGAAAATTTTGAGTGAGTAATTTAAGTGTTCTACTTTCTGTTGAACTGTAGAATGCTTCTAAAGAAATAATCATTTGAATCAAAATTTGTGTTAACTCTTTAATTAGAAGACAGATGATGTGTTAAGTATTGGGTATATGGTGTTAAAACTTAGTTCTTACTAGAAATGAACTATTGTCTGTAAATTCTTAATAACAGTATTAGTTAAGCTTTTTATGACCTGTTTCCTGTTAGTTATGAATATTTGTCAGTTATTTGAGTTCCAAAATTAGGTTGCTGTAAGATGTCATTCATTCACTGCCATTGAGTCTGTTCTGACTCGTAGGAACCCTGTAGGCCAGGCTGGAACTGCCTTTGCGCGCGCGTATCTGAAATGGAAACTCCTCACAGGAGTAGAAGCCCCGTTTTGCTCCCGAGGAGCGGCTGGTGGTTTTGAGCTCTCCGCACCTTTGATTACCAGCCCAACCATTATGCCCCCGGTCCTGGTTATTTTGTAAAGTTAATTTGATGCTAGAACCTATTATTGACTTAAAGAAAATGGTTTCATTTTTGAATTACAGGCGCAGGGACAGAGCTCATCAGGAGATGAAGAATCTTTTCTGTAAGGCAATTCAGAAACGCAGACAGTCAGAGAACAAAACTGATGACATGCTCCAAACTTTATTAGAGTCTACATACAAGTAAGAAATAATTACATAAAATTAAATTAAAATAGGAAATTACATGTTAAAATGCAGTTAATTAATATTGTTAAAATTATTATATTGTCAAAACAAGTCAGTAGCTATGATTTTCAGACATGTATTTATTTATTTTAATTAATTAATTAATTAATTAATTAATGTAATCAGTTGGTTCTCACCCATACAACAGATATTTACCCTCCCAATAGTTTTTGTTTTTTTTTTTGCCTCCCAATAGTTTTATTGGCACATAGTTTACATGTCATACAATTCAATCGTTCCATCACATCCAGTCTTGACTCCATCCCCCCACCCCATGGTTAAATCACCTTTAACATGAGTTGTGTAATCACAAGCAGTTCAGTGCACCCTTCCCCCTTCCATCTTCATTATTTACTCCCAAAGCTTTGGACATTTTACATTCAAGTTGTTGAAATCCCATTCCTTACTGAACTCCCAGTGACTGGACAGAGTGGGACATTTGCTTTTAGAGTGAAGTCTTCTCCAATCAAAACCATTGTCTTCTATTGGTTTAGCCCCTTTTTTGTAAGGAAAAAAATAATGTGGCTTGTGGTAGGCAAATCAAAGGATTTCATGATGTCTAAAAAATGTATTCATTCTTTTATTGACAGGTTAGGCATGAAATGTGTCTGCCAAATTCTAAGTGTGTCTATGTGGTTTATCCCACAGAAATGGATGCTTTCTCACAGATGATGAGATAGCAGGGTTGCTTATTGGACTGCTGCTGGCAGGGCAGCATACATCCTCAACTACTAGTGCTTGGCTGGGCTTCTTTTTGGCCCAAGACAAAGCACTTCAAGAAAACTGTTACTTGGAACAGAGAGCGGTCTGCGGAGAGGACCTGCCTCCACTGACTTATGACCAGGTTTGTTTGGGTTGCCAGTCTCTCTGCTGCCTTATTATCTGCGGTGAGAGGGGCAATTTGAGATTTTTCTTTATCATATTGGTTAAATTACTTAACTTCCATTCTTTGAGAGAATTCGCCACAGCCTTCCCTGGGATGTCCATTAAACTATGTCAGATGTGCTTGGGTTTGGCACCTTAGAAATCTTTGAGGTTTCTTCTTTGGTACTTATTTCCTCTACCTGAAAGTGGCTTCTGGGAATAGAGGAGACGCTGTTGTTGTGTGTCTTATAAAACACAGACGACTGAATCACGCAGAACACTCCAGGCTTAGAATGCCCTGTGCACTGCTTCCCTGACTGCTGTCAAAAGTGGTAGTGCTAGTGGGGTTCCCAGTTTGTTGGATTGAAAGGAAGAGAGAAGAGCCTAAGAGAGAACTTAGAATTCCACCTTCGAAGCACACTCTGGTCATGTCTTCCTGTTATTTGATTCCTTTATTTTATTATCCTAGTGTTTTACATAATTGATTTTCAAATGTTAAGCCTTGAATTCCTGGACTAAATCCTGTTGACTCTTGTTTGTAATCTTTTTGATATATTTCTGGACTCAGTTTACTAGTTTTTGTTGAGGATTTTTACATCTATATTCATAAAGGATAGTGGTCATAGATTTAATGGAATGGCCTTGTCTGGTTTTAGTAACAGGATAATATTGGTTTTGTAGAATGAGTAAGAAAACATTCACTCCTTTTTGTGTATGTTAATCCTTTATGTACTTGGTAGAATTCAGCACTGAAGCCATCTGGCTTGCCTTTTCTTTCTTGGAAGTTTTTGATTACTAATTCTATCTCAATTTTTGTCATGCCATTAATGTAAGTAGAGTTGGTTCTCCTTCATAATGACCCTACAGGTTCCTTTTTTCCTTGAATGATTTTTTTGGTCTCCATCCTAAAATTTTTTGCTAGTCATTTTTGACAAACAATCTCTAGGGCTGAGGCTGTCTGATTGAGAGAGCTCTGAGTCAGAGCAAATATAGACAGACCTGAGAGTGGAGCTTTTCGTGGAGCTTGCCAGTGACAGGTCTCTGGTGTGGAGCTCTGGGATGCTTCTGCTTCCGCTAGTAGTTGCTAGGCTGCTGTTTTTAAAGCAACGGAAGTTGCCAGGCTGTTGGTTTGCTAGGCTCTCCTGGAGCTGGAGAGAGAAAGGTAGAAATAGGATGAGCTCACTGTCCTCACCAAGATTCAGTTGTTTTACTTGAATAAACTCTTCTGTGACTGTTGGAGGACTTTTTATTTCTGTCCAGAGTTTGGAAAAAGGGTACTTAAGAGTTTTTTGCTGGCAAGCTCATTGTTTTTGGCGGAATGACTGTTGAATTTCCTTAGTGTCCCACTTTGCACAGTGCTCTCTGCCTGTTTTCTTGCCCGTCCTTTATTTCCCTTGTTGACCACAGACAGTGATAGACACGGGGCTCTCAGCCACTTTGAACTGGTTACTTGTGTGTTCCCTTCCAAAATGCAAGCAATCTTATACAATCTTAGTTTTTTTCAAAAAAATGTATAGTACTCTTGAGATGTTACATATTTGTAAAAATCAGGACATATTTTATCTTTTTTAGCTTAAGGATCTGAATTTACTTGATCGCTGTATTAGGGAAACCTTAAGGCTTAGACCGCCCATCATGACCATAATGAGAATGGCCAGAACACCCCAGGTAAGTCCATGGGCCAATCTCCCCACCCTGACATGTTTTTATATACCACGAGGCTATATAATAGTATCAAAGAGAATTTATTTTTATTTAAAAGAGAAAACACTCTTCAACAATAACTTTCCATTTTACGTAGTCTACATATATAAAAACTTTTTACACAATTATCTGCTAGTCTGTTTTCTGCACTTTCCTATAATATTTAGCCGTTTTCAAATGAAAATTTCTTCTTCCTGCTTTTAAAAGTAGTTATCTACTTTGATGGAAAAAAAAAATCCAACTGTATGGAAGTGTATAATTCAGGCTTCCCGAAATGCTACCTTAGTTGAGGTCTTTACAACTGCATTTTCACTGTATGTACTTCAACCATAATCGTGAATTAGAATTTTTAGTTGACGTAGTCATCTAGCTAATTTTTTCGTATTTGTATAGCTCACACATTACTGCTTTGTTATAAAGTAACATGTGACTATTGGATAGCATATTTTTAAATTATCTAAAGCCGTGGTTCTCAACTTCCTAATGCTGCGACCCTTTAATACAGTTCCTCATGTTGTGGGGGTGAGCCCCCCAACCATAAAATTATTTTCATTGCTACTTCATAACTAATTTTGCTACTGTTATGAATTGGGCAACCCCTGTGAAAGGGTCGTTTGACCCCCCACAAGGAGGTCATGACCCACAGATTGAGAACTGCTGATCTAAAGGAATGTGTCGCTCTCATTTATAGACTGTGGCAGGCTATACCATTCCTCCAGGCCATCAGGTGTGTGTGTCTCCCACGGTCAACCAAAGACTGAAAGACTCATGGTCAAAACCTCTGGACTTTAATCCTGATCGCTACTTAACGGACAACCCAACATCAGCAGAGAAATTTGCTTATGTGCCATTTGGAGCTGGTAAGACGACATTTTAGATCCTAAATATTTCTCCAGGTAGCATATGTGTCCTTGTGAAAATAATCCATGAATCTTTGTATGTACATCTCTCCTCTGCCTTGTAAGGGCATCGCTACAAAATTTTGTAGATATAGAATCTACAAGTTTGGGGAAAAATTGTACTAAAAGATACTGTCCTGTGAATAATATCCTTACAAAGTGCTCTATTTCCTTTTTGCCTGCCTTGTCTTTTCAGGCCCTTCTCTCTTATTTAACTGGCCCCAGTGACATAGCAGATTATGCACTGAGCTGCTATGTATGCAAGGTCAGTGGTTGGAATCCACCAGCACCTCTGGGCGAAAGATGAGGCTCCCATAAAAATTTTAAAAAATGAAAAGTTTAGGAAACATGAAAGGGCAGTTTCTACTCTGTCCAGTTGGATGGCCGTGAGTTGGGATTGACTGTATTTTTAAATTTTTTTCCTATTTACTTAGGGCTCTTCGTGAATTTGTTCCACAGAAATATTGAAGTTAACCACACCCTTCAGATGATATCTCAGACTAATATATAAATAAATTGTTGCATCCAAGAGAAAGGCAGAAGGAGCCCTTTTTGAAAGTTTGCCAACTTTTGGAATTGTTAGCTTCTTATCTCTATGTGAAAAATTTTATGATAAAATGGTCTTTAAATTTGAGCAGGTTAAATGAATCTCTGGTTTATAAACTTCTTTATTTCCGGTAAGAACATAACAATACTGTTACTCTCATTATATAACTGTAGATACTCTATACCTTGATAAATCTATATTTTGTGACTTATTTAGTATTTTTTAGTGACAATACTAGTGACATATCTTTTGGGTCAACGGTCATGTTTTCCAAATATGAAACCCAAACTCCAAACTCAACTGCCATCAAGTGGATTCACGTGGACCCTATAGGCCAGTCACTGTGGATTTCTAAGACTCAGTCTTTAATGTGGGAATAAAAGCCTCGTCTTTCTCCTGTGGAGTGCCCGGTGGTTTCACAGAGCTGATCTTGCAGTTAGCAGCCCAATGTGCAACCCTTTATGCCACAGGGCTCCTTCTAAATGTGAAGGAAAGCATAAAGTCTTTTGGGAAGGTTAGGTTTTAATAACTTTATTTAACAGATTTGTTAATGTGATGGTATATGACATAAGAGAATTGTAGATTGTAATAATTGGTAGAGGCATTAGTTCTGCTGAATGGAGGAATCCTTTCTACAATGCCCACTTGAATCCTTCAGGTAATTGGATGGGTAGTTACCATATATGGCAACTCGTTTTTACAACATAAGAAAGCTGAAATCTGTTTTCTTTTACCATCCCATTGACAGTTGTTCCTAATGGTGGTTTCTGAAGTTATATACTCTCTGTGAAACTTGTGAAAGTTCGAACCTGTGCAAGGTGGAAATCTGTTAGAGAAGGAACTGGGGGGGGGGGGCAAGTTAAAATAGGGTCAAAAGGGAAAAGCAGATGTTACCATGTTAAACGTAAACCAAACTGTATCTGTAGTCATTTACTTTCCAATTCAGCCTGTGGACAAGACTGCTCACATCCCTGTTTAACGGTCTGAAGGAATTCAAAAGTACATCGGGACTCTCAGCAAACGGATTCCGGGCTTTCATTGTCAACATTAGCCTTCTGCAAACGGGTCCAGAATACAAGCTTTAATAGCATACTCTTCTGATCTTGGATTTTGCCACTCTTCTTCCCTGTGGATTAGTTGCCACCTTCATTTAGACAAGCCTAAAGATTAGTCCCTGTTTCCTTTTCTGAAAACTCATTGTAATAGCCTATTCTTACTAGTATGGCTGTGAGGGTTTAATGGGGGAACAAATAACAAGGTGCATACTAGCACTTCCCACTCACTCACTGCTAAGTCTATTCTAGAGGACATTTGTAAGGGTGGATTAGCCTGTATTCAAATATAAGCAACTAAAGAAAGGTGTACAGGAAGACTAAATGATTGTTTCAAATTGCAGCAAACTATGTCAACAGATTAATGAATAAATACTGACAACTTGCACAAGTAAGTGCTAGAAAAATGGTAAGACTGCATGCACCTTGTCAAAGGTGAAAGCCTTGTGAGATTAGGAAAAACAAGGCAGTCCAGTTGAGTTCTGGCTCATAGGTTTCACTGTATAATGTTCCTTCAAATCTTCTTTTATCACCACATTAATGATATAGTTTTTGTAATAATAAATTATTTATCTGCATATTTATAACATGTTAGTTTATTCATTTTGTATGCTTTTATACAATTGTTTCCACGTGTCTGTGCTTGACTCATTTTGGCTTAGGATAGGAAGAGACCAATAGTTGTACATTAGATGGCCATTTGCAAGCTTTTAAGAGCCTCGCCTCTGCTCACCAAAGTAGGATGTAGAACATTCTTTGTGGGCTGTGCTATGCCAACTGACCTCATTGTCTCTCAAGACTTTGATCCTGAGCCCTGTAATATCTTTGCTTATGGCTAGTTTTTATATCTTTGCTCCTGTATACTCTACTTTTTCGTAGCACATGTAAATACATAGGTAGAAATAGCCTGTTAAACCTATATCTGTCTGTTGGTGCAGTACCATTCCTCATTTCATCCTCAGTCAACACTTATCTGTGTATCTGCTTCATGATTGCAGGATAATAGTATTTTACCAGTTTCCTTTAGCTCCTGTGTCTTTCTTCAGCTTGGTTGTTCTGTACCAACCCCCGACTATTGTTGCTAGGTAGCATCTAGTAAGTTCCTACTCGGAGACCCTGTGTACAATCGAAGGAAGCACCACCTGGTCCAGCGCCACCCTCAAAAGTGTCCTGATGTCTGAGCCACTGTCAGTCCTTCTTGTTGAGAGTTTCCCTCTTAGTCTATGTGGGCCTTTAAAATTTCTATCCCAGAAGAGTTGGTGCCAATTTGTGGTCCCTTTTTAATTCATCAGATATCACATATAATAGCATTGGATCTTTTAACTCGGGCCCTCTAGGGGCAGAGAGATCTAGAATATTTCCAAACTTATTAACTGAAATGAATGTTAGATTAGAACACTGAAAAAGTTATTATATAGTTAGCAAGACCTTTGTCTGTAGAAACAGAAGGTAAAAATGTTTAGGATTATATTTATATATTTTATTGTGTATTGCATGTACTGTTCATCCAAACTGTAGATAAACCACTTTACCATGCAAAGTTAAAAAGAAATGAGAGAAGCATTTAAGTGATCTTTCTGAAAAATTTTTTTTCAGGTCGTCATCGTTGTGTTGGGGAAAATTTTGCCTACATTCAAATTAAGACAATATGGTCCACTATGCTTCGCTTATATGAATTTGATCTCATTGATGGATATTTTCCCAGTGTGAATTATACAACCATGATTCACACCCCCGAAAGACCAATTATCCGATACAAACGACGATCAAAATGAAAAGATGGCAAGAACTCACATCATGGTCAGCTGCAAACCATTTGAAGATACCAGAGTTTACAAGGCAATGCCTAGTGTACTGGTTTTGGAATGTGTAATTTAAAGAGCCACTTAAGATTTTTACATTGTATTAATTGAATGAGATTCATTCACTTTTGATGGCATTTAAATATCTCTATTAGTTTTATGATGAGTACTTTTACAGGTGCTTTGATGAGGTAAAGCTCATTAGTAAAACATGAAAATTGTCCAGGGAAGCTCTAGGCACTTGACAGATTTTGTAACATTAAAATTTCCAGGTACTATTTATAAGAACACACACACAGATAAGAAATAGAGATGGAGAGAGGGAGAGCTGAAGATAGATCCTGGAAATTAAACACATGGTTTTCAGATTTTGGACTAGTTCTTCAAGGTATAGAAAGGCTACTAAAATACTTGGAATCTGTATGCTACTTGCTCACCTGGGTACTTCGTGTGGGGGAAGGGCATGGGGGAGGCCATGTAGGGACTAGCCATCACTTTTGAAAACCCTGGGTAAAGGACACTATCATTAACTGTTCATAGATGCTGTGATGATATTCAGGAGTAATTGGGATGTTAGAGAAAAATAATGCCATTAGAAATTACTGGGCAAAAAAAAAACAAACTTACTGGACACACCGTCTACAGCACAAGAGGGATTTATGACCATGACTTAAGTAATGGTATTTCCTATAAGCTATCATTCTTAAAACGAATTCTTAATACTCATGTAATTTAATCTGATTACTAAATATATGTCAGTCTACTGGAAATGTATCTGGTTCCACACAGTCACATCTTAGGGAATAATTTTTTTCTCTTTTCTCCAAAGTTGTTCCTTACTTTTCTCCCAGAATACAGTTAGGGATATTCCATTTCTAGTTCCATTCATTTAAGTTTCCTTTAGGGTAATAAGCTTTTCCCCCTTAAGCAGGCCAGTCACTTTCTGCCAAGCCTAGATCCCAAAATCAACTTGGCAGGAACTGGGGGCTTGACTGGACACATAGCCTGTCTTACTAGGTGGGGCAAAGTCTGGTTTGTCTTGTGTCAATTACAGGGCTGCTTATGGGCAGAGGCTGCAAGACTCTGGTGAAACTGTTGTAAAGGCAAGATCTCTGCTGTTGGAGTTTTTCATATTAAAGTTTTTTCAAGAAATAAAACATTGCATTTACCAATGTAAAATGTTTCAGTGGGTCAAATTCATGGGATCTAGGAACTTGGATGGGGGGGGGGGGATGCCTCTTTACTTTCATTAGTTACTTTGGCAGTTGAATTTTCCCTTTAATTATGGCCAGAGAGTCTTGGTGGCACTGAAAGTTAAGCATTGGACAGCTAACCTACAGGTCAGTGGTTCAACTCAGCAGCTACTTCGTTGGAGAAATTAGGTTTCTGCTCAGATTCAGTCTTGACAACCACCTGGTGCAATTCCACTCTGTCCCACAGGGCTGCTGGGAGTTGGAATGGACTTGACAAGAGGTGTGGTCTTTTGATAATTAGGACTAGTCAGTAAACCTAGGCTCCATCACAAAATCTATTGATTTTGTCAATAGAAATCACCTATTTTCATACTTTAATTGTTGCCTATCTCTTAAAATGTCTTACTTTCACCATGACTGAAATAAATGAACAGCTTATGAGACAATTATTTCTATAAAGTTGCTTCCTTCAGAATCCTACATATTTTATATATTTGCAAACATGTCCATAATTTCACCAGACTGTAAAGTAGTTCACAGCATAAAATACAAACCTGAAGTACATCTAGTTTATGTTTAGTGTGAATCTATTTTGACTTCAAGGAATTTAATTTTTAGGCAGAAATTAAGAGAAGAGCAAGTTGATGGCAGATGCCCAAGAAAAGGAGGCCTTGTAGCACAGTGGTTGTGCATTGGGCTGCTAACTACAAGGTAAGCAGTTCAAAACCATCAATTGCTCTGTGGGAGAAAGCTGAGGCTTTCTCTGAAACCACCAGGGGCAGTTATACCCTGTCCCTGTGGGAGCACCGAATAAGAATTGATGGCACTTGACTTTGATGTCAAACAGTGGAAGTGAATGGAGGGAAGTTGGGCTCCTATTGTCCCTTCTTTCCTAGAGCATAAAAGCTTTGCAGGCCAAACCCTGCTAGCTGAGAAGGGTTGTATTCACAAGCCTTTAATTAATTGCTCGAACACCTCTGCCATCTCTAGACCTCCCCTGGTTGGACTGTAGCTGCTAACATGCAAAACTTAAGGTAATATGGAAACTATAGTAATGCATAACAACGCTCCTTACCTGTAGGGTGGTACAGGTCAGAAAACATCAAATGGTGAGACAAAGTTCTCTGAAGATAAGCACCAAACTACTTGTTATTCTAGTGCGTTGCTATGGTACTAGATATGGATATGACAAATTTGAGGTTTATAATAGAGGATCTTTGAGAGCCGCCCAACTGGAATTTGGTTGGGCAGTACTATTGGGCTCTGTGGCTAATGAGATTTGTTTCTTTGGATTACGATGATTTCTGTATCTTAGTGGGCCATGGCTTAGTAAACATATCTTTGGACAAGAGAAACAAATATGTATTTATTAATCATGAAAATACTAATATAAAAACTAGATATAAGGTTGATAACAAAGAAGGTGGAAAACGCTCTTGTCCAATGGAGGGAGGAAAAGCAATCCCCCAAGAGTTCCTAATTCCGAGACTAAGACTCTTTTCCGAATCCTTACATCCTAAATGAAAAGAGCAATGAGGATAAGCACCACGAATCGTTCAGTTAAAAAGGTTCAAATGCACAGTGGTTAAAATGGTGATGTAATTTTTATTTTAGGACTTGACAAAATACCCCGTAAAATCCAAAACTTCTACCATTATACAAAAATAGGTCTCTACAAGTGATCTTTTCTGTCTGTATCACCAGTAGCAAATACATGAGCAGAAACATGTAACTTCAGTAGCCTTTTAAGAAAAGTGCAGGACAGCTCCAGCTACCGTCATCAGTATCAATGTGCAAAAGTTTAATCTTTTCACCCATTTGATAAATACACAATATTTTATAACTTAACCGTTTAAATTAGCATTCCACAAATATACAGGTAATTTAATGATTATTGTGCATGAATACATACACAATGCTTATATACAAATTTCCAGTTTCTATGTGCTGGCAGGGGATTTGCATACAATCATAAGCTGTGTTCCTAATGGTCCCATTGAATAGACACAATACAAAAGCACAAAAGAACCAGTGATTTACAAAAGGAAGTTTGCTCAAAAATCACTTTGATTAATGATGTTTTCAAAGGATTATCTTCTCATGCCAGCATGAAACTGAGTGCTTGAACCTGCGGGAGAAAAAGCAGGATGTTTCAGTAATTTCAAATTAAATGACTGCTCGCACTAGTGTCTGATTGGTTCGCTCAGGGCAAGAGAGGTCCATTACTGTCCATTCAAAAACTCCTTTGCCTTTACCTGCTCCCCATCCCCCCTCTTAGAAAGTGTGTTGATTTTTAAAAGATATTTTGAACATGTATTTAAAAGGCACTATACAGGAATCCAGGACAGATGATCCCTTCAGGACCAGTGCTGAGAGGAGATACCAGGAGGGTAGAGGGAGGGTAGGGTGGAAAGGGGGAAATGATTATAAGGATCTATATATGACCTCCTCCATGGGGGATGGACAACAGAAAAGTGGATGAAGGGAACGTCGGACAGTGTAAGATATGGCAAAGTAATTTATAAATTATCAAGGGTTCATGGGGTAGTGGGAGGGAGGGGGAAAATGAACTGATACCAGGGGCTTACGTGGAGAGCAAATGTTTTGAGAATGTTGAGCGCAACGAATGTACAAATGTGCTTTAAACAATGGATGTATGTATGGGTTGTGATAAGAGTTGTATGTGCCCCCAATAAAATGATTTAAAAAAAAAGAATTGGGGGAAAAAGGGACTCTGGTATATTCCCAGAGAAAATACAAATGTGAACAGACTCTGGAATGTTACTTGATAATGTTTCAAAATGATGAGTGTGCAGGACCTTTGATTCAGTAATTCCACTTCTAGGAATTTATCCTACAGAAATACTAGCACAGATGAGAAATAGTATACGTACAAAGTTACTAATTGCAGCAGCATCTGAAATTGCAAAACAGAAATAAACGTTTTTGATGAAATAAAAAAAGGCACTGTGGCTGGCTCTGTAGAAAGGTAAGGGGTTGGGGCTAATGTTCAGATTTACTCTAGTGTGCTGTAGGGTAAATGTTCTTGATAAACCTTGGTCTTCAAAATCTAGATCTCGTGAAATTTGGATGCTCAAAACAAATCAACCAATACAAGCCAGCCTCCTGTGAAAACCAACACTTCCTGTGACCTTCAAGGTACCTGAGTTAAACAAATGCTTTCTTGAGTGAAAAGATCAACTACTAACATAAAATAACCTGTTACTAGCCTACAGTTTGTGTGGTTAGTAGAAAATATAAAAGTTGACAGTCTAATCACTTTAAAATGAACTAGTTTTTTACTCGGTAATGAGCTGAAGGGTTTCCCCATAAAACAGAAAATGGACCTCTGTTGAAGATTATTTTTTTGCGTGTTACGCAAAAAGGAAAAAATGAAGAGTCGTTACAGTAAGAGTCTTGTGCAGGGCTGTGTTTTGGTCACACAGAGCAGCACGTGTATTGATAGTGGCTGTATTCAGTGCTTAAGTACTGGCTG